AAAAAAAAAAAAAAAAAAAAAAAAAAAAAAAAAAAAAAAAAAAAAAAAAAAAAAAAACTATTACCAAATTAAAATTCCAAATGAAAATTTTAAACAGCACAAGTGCTAATAAATAAATAAAAACTTTTATCAAATTTGTTATTGAGGTAGAAGGTAGTAAAAAATTATCATTCAATAAAAAGAGAATATGTAATAGTTCATATTACTTAAGACATTTCATACTTATGTCATAATTTGATAATTTATTCATATTTCCTACAGAATTTAGTTACTTTGATTTCCCTTTACTAGCAGGATTATCATAAAACCAATATGCTTTGTAAAAGTCTCAATACAACCTCACTGACTGAAAATTTAAAAAAAAAAAAAAAAAAAATATTCCAGAACAAAATAGCATTTAAAAAGCACAAAAATCTGATTACATTAACACCACAATGATATTAAAAAAATTAAAGAAATGTGAAATGAAACTACAGGTCTTCAGAAGGAAGAAATGATTTCTTATGGTTGAGTTGCCAAGCACGTAGTACATGCATTCTCAGTACAGGCAATTGGAAAGGGGGAGATTGATTTATAGAATTTTTTTGGATAAAGAAGAATGAAAGCAGTTAAAAAAAGTAGACATGTTTCTAAAGCAGACGTATGCCAACCTGGAAAAAAGAGGAGGCTTTGGAAAGGAAGAGAGAAATGATCACGCAACAGTGAAACATGCAAAATAACGACACAAAAATTTAAAAAAAAAAAAAATTATTTGTAAATAATAACACTTAAGTCTTAAGGGAGATTTTATTTAGTACATAAAGAATAATTAAATTTATTGAACATATTGCTAAAATTATATACCAAAATTAAACAATTGTCAATATTAATATCTATAATACTGAATAGCAACAACAGTAAGTAAATTTATTTAGCTAATTCATAAATTTATTCAAGCTAGTGATCTTTTATTTAAAAAGAAATAAATAAATGGGCTAAACTAAGTTATTTTTAAAAAATATAATAAATAGAAGATTAGGTAACTAAATAAATATCTTTCTTCAAATGAAAATTAGAAATTTCATTTTCAGTAAAAATATTTTAGATCGATGATCAAAATTTTTAAGAAATTAAAAGTGCAGAATTCAATCCTCTTTCAGAAGCAATAATTCCAGGAAATTCTTCCGAATAAGCTTGGTTGAAAGAAGATAAGTATTTTGTATTAACATTTTTTGCTGCCATTATATATTTCCATACAGAAAACAAACTAAATCAAGACAGAAACACACTAAAAACAAACTCAGATTGGAAGTTGCTGATATTGACTTCATTTCACTTCACTGTAGAACGAAAATAATTTTTCAGCACATACAGCGTACGTTCTTGCTTCTGAAAGAAGCCAATCACAAAGCAGTATTTATGAAGAGAAGCCTAACTCAGCGGTTGCAGATTCAGAAAGAAAAGGAGAAAAAACGCTCTTGATTGGGCAACACTTACGATAGTCACAACTCAGGACACGCCCAGCTCTGACGCATTGAGGCTGAAATTGAATAAAACTCCATTACGAGTAAAAGTAAGTAAAAAAACCGGAGATTTTCGAGAAAACCCCGGAGGAGAACATAACTTGCAAAAAGCCAGTCTCCGGCCAAAAGCCGGAGGGTTGGCATTTCTGCTAAAGCTTCAAAAATTTTATATTAAACATCTGAACTTTAAGGACAGATTTTGCATGACATTCTATAAATCTGCTTACAAATCTCATCAAATTTTGCAAGATTGCTTAACGGTTAGAAATGTGTAAAAGTTGTAATAAGAAAGTTTTAAAATTAAAACAATATATTTATACCCTTTACTACATCTTCCTGAATATGATTCATGCATCGTTCAACAACTTCTGAAGCAGACTCTGGTGAGCTGTACAAAGCCGTGGCTCTAATCTGGACACCTTCTGGCATGACATACACTGTAGAGAAGTTTATAGGGCATGGGGCTTCCTTTCCAACATATAATTTATTTTTCTCTGCATTGTACTGCAAATGATTTTTGACATAAATATTATGAAGTAAAATGAACATATAAATACAACAGCAGTCGCACAGAAAAATAGTTTAAGTTGTTAAAAGAACCTTAATCACAAATTTTAAATTTTTAAGATTATAATTTTGCATACTATAGTTGGCACTCAATGAAACAACCTCCGGTCTAAATGAAAATGGATATCATAATGTAATGTGGGTATATTGTAACTACATAAAACTAGAGTAAATATTTGCTTTTATTTCAGAAATACTGGACTTTATTTAATATAGTACAGTCAAAGTTAAAAACATATTAAAATTTTTTTAAGTGACACCTTTAAATATTGTGCATAAAGTTTAACCCATCATCGTGTGTTTATTTGATTTTGAAATTTTGCTTCGCAAGAATGATGTCTTGAAATTGGAACACTTAATTTTCTCTCTCCCACTTTTAGAATTACATGACGATTTTTAATTAATACAAACAAAGTGCTTTTTGCGATCTTGAATAATTTAAGCAATTTGTGATTTTGCTCTTAAACTTCAATAAAATTTCCCAATTCTGTTCAAAGCATATAGCATTACATTGGTTAGGAGTAGTTATTTGTACGAAATTACATGTTCTAAAAACTGAGCAAAAGCAAAATCAAGAAGAGTGTGAATACTACCACGTGTTTGATAATACACAGGGTGTGTAGCCAAATTATTCAACAAAAAATATGCACATTTGAAGCACTAAAAAAATATTTTTAAGCACTTTAAAAAATATCATAATTAGGCAGGGTTGGAAAGTTTTTGACCATTGATGGTTTTATCTTGTTTTAACTGCCACATATATATATGTAAAAAAATTATGGCATTGTTTTTGACAATTGTCAAAAATAATGGAATTTTGAATCAAGTAAAACGAATGGCGTTTTCATACACTACGGACTGACAATACGCCGAAATAGATTGGGGTTGAATTAATTGGGAAAACGATGAATAGAACAATGTGAACCGTGCCTTTTAGCATAATTCATAGCGAAAATCAACGTGGTAAATTAAAAATCTCATTTCGAAAAAGGGAAAATTAAGCACTTTTTAAAAACACCCACTGAAAAAAGCACCTTTAAGGGCTTTTTAAAAACGCTATGCACCCTGATACATTTAAATGAATGAGAGATTCTTAATGGTTATGATCATACAGGAAAATGGGCATTTTAAACGACTGTGCACTTCAAACTATCAATAATGATAAGTAATTGATGAATAAAATTTTTTTAAGACCATAGAGAGTATACTGAGTTATTAATGAGAATCAGGAATAAAGTATGTAACAGTCCATTTATTATATTTGTGAGAGGATTCATTAGAGGATGAATAAATTTTTTTAAGACCATAGAGAGCATATTGAGTTATTAATGAGAATCAGGAATAAAGTATGTAACAGTCCATTTAATATATTTGTGAGAGGATTCATTATTTATGTGAGAGATCAGTAAGGATACATAAAACAACAATTATATTAAAACATAGAGAAACATTTTATAGCATTGCATCAAAATATAAAAATTCCTAATCATGTTTTTAAAAAACTATATTTTATCTGAACTAAGAATTTAAAGTATAATTTATTAAAGAGGGAAATCTTAAACTTTTAAAATATATCCAATTGGATTATTAAATTCTATACTGAGTTGTAATTACTGATAATTTGCCCCCCCCCCTGCTTATTATTCATTGTAGCTTTGGCTATGACGAATAATAGGCAAGTCAAATGCGTTGATTCGATCTACTTTAATTTATGCTGTGAATATTCTTTTAAAACAATTATTAAAAAAAATATATATATAAGTTATGTACAACTGTACCTTATAGTAAAACTTAGCATAAATTAATAATTTAAAGCATGTCGGCATTAGTATTAAACTTTAAGAACTGCATCTAATTACTAATATTCTATTTAATTTGATAGTTGTTAAGAAATTAAATAACTCCATTACATTATTTTTAGTAAATTATGAAAACAATAGTGTCATTATTTTTTATTATCGACTTGGAAATGTGTACCAGTAATGGGCACCCTTAAAGAATTTCTTTTTAAACTTAAATTTGATTGAATAATTATAACTAGAATATTTGTTTTATATATATATATATATAAGTTCAAAATGCAGAGAAATCACGGAAAAATTACAGAACAATGAAAAAAGGGAAAAATAAAAATAATAGATTATGCTATATATAAAATAAACTATATAGTTCTGTCAACATAATTTAGCTACTTTCTTAGTCATTGGTCATAATTATCAGGAATAACCCAAGATTATAAAACATGCATGGAATTATAAAAAAATTAAATTACAAGTCGAATTTTCATTACTTATGTTTTACAAAAAAAAGAAGAAAAGAGAGAGAGAATTCATTATTAGATCCAAATTATTATATACCCATTATTCAAATTATAATATACCCATTCCAAATTATAATATACCCATTATTATGATTTAGATCCAAATTCTTAATATCTAACCCAAATGTAATATCTAATCCAATAAGTTGTAAATGATGATAGAAACTTGGAATGTTAAAAAGCATGGAGCATAATATATTACTTAGATTTATTGTGCTTTTAAAGCTAAAACTGAATTTGTGCTGCAGCCGAAGATCAGGCCATTACATTCATTTCAAAAATCATTTATTTCATAAAAACATTGAATTTTGAAACTTGAAAAATAAGCAACAAGCTTAGCTAAGATATTTGATTTAAATTGCTGTATATTCAAATACAATAAACCAAATGAACTGTAAAAATTAATAAAATATTGTAAGTATTTATACCAACTTTGGGATCAAAATGCTTTCTTTTTATTAATTTATGACAACATTAAGTTAAATTATGAAGTCTATAAGCCTCAATTGATTTTTTGACAGTGAAATCCAGTCTGATAATTTATAGAACTCAGCTTGATAATTATCTCACAAGTATTAGTTTAATAAAGATAACTATTTAAAGTCTTCAATTAACAAACAATCAATTCAACTGAATTTTAAAAACAAAATACATACTGTCCAAGTGACACCTTTTGTTTTCTTTTCTTGGAAATTAAATCCAACATTGAAACCATATTCACCAGGCCAGTTTTGGCTGAAAATTAAAACAATTACTACATTTAATTAAATTGACTATAAAATTATGATTGCAATAAAGATTAAATTTTACCTGGCAGGCAGCGAAGCTGGTTTTGATATATTAGTTGATGTTACAGGATCAATTTCTACAACTTCCTAATTAAAACATTAAATGATTAATAATCTTATAAAAATGCAGAAAGATAGACCTGATAATGCAATTAAAAAAATACATTGAGGAAGAAAAAAAACCCCACTACTTTATACAAATGTCTTGTAAATGTCGTAATAAATACTTGTCATTTGCAAATTTAATCACTTAATTAAAAAAGTTTAAAAGCATTGCAATTAAAAAAAGTTTGCAGTTTCTTCGCTTATTAATAGTCAAGGTATATTAACATGCAATACAAAACAGTAAAAAAAAAAAAAATAACATTTATAATACCAGAGTGGAACATAAGATAATTTTGAAATTTACTTACATCCTTAATGATATTTAATAGCTCTTGGGAAGGCTGAACAGGTATAAGTTCTTGTCCACTAAAAATAAATAAAACTTATAATTATAAAACTTAATAACTACATTTAATTAAAAACTTAATGGCATTTTTTCTCCTCATATTACTCAGCTGGAAAAGAAATGTAGGTGCTTCACTAGATTTCAAGAAAAGCAGCTTGACAACTATTTTTTCCCCTTGCTAATACTTTAATGCTATAAGAGAATGGGATTGTAGAAATATTCTTTTTTATTATATGTAGTTAATCATACGAAAATTCCAAATTAAAAATCTCAATTTAGAATTTTTGACGCTTATGTTAATTTTTCTTTTGCATGGCAGCATAGTAATGTAACTATAATTTTATGAACAATTTATATCAATTACAGTGCCCGCCGTTTATTAAAATCACTTTCGTTTTATGCTCTTTTGATTTTATTAAGCGGCTGATTTTATTAAGAGGCGATTCAGCATTTGAAGAAAAAAATCACATTTTTAAAATATATTCTAAATGCACACACTTCAAAAGCTGAAATAATGACAACATTAATGGTTTATTCAACTAATTTAATTATTTTAATAAAGTAAAACCCTATATAAGATTAAATTTACAAAACTTTTGCAAAAAACCGATCAATGGTTGCTTGAGTTGCACTATTTAAAATTAACTTTTCAACATCATTTGAGAGTTTATAGAAGTTTTTATAGTTTTCGATATTTCCTCCTCTTTGTTCTAAAGCTTGCCNTGATAATTAAAAATCTTATTAACAACATAAAATTAAAAACTTAATGGCATTTTTTCTCCTAAGATTAATTTAGCTGGAAAAGAAATGTAGGTGCTTCACTTGATTTCAAGAAAAGCAGCTTGACAACTATTTTTTCCCCTTGCTAATACTTTAATGCTGTAATAGAATTTGATTGTAGAAATATTCTTTTTTATTATATGTAGTTAATCATACAAAAATTCCAAATAAAAAATATCAATTTAGAATTTTTGACGCTTATGTTAATTTTTCTTTTGCATGGCAGCATAGTTTGTAACTATGATGCATATATTTTATCAACAATTTATGTCTATTATAAAAGAAAGTAACTGGGTTTTAGGATAAAAACTAGAAATTTTCAAAGTAAAATACTAAATTTAAAAAATATTTTATTTCTAATTCATTATCTATTGACTGAATATGAAGCCTCAGCTAGACTAAATATTTAAGTTATCACATGATGCAAACCAGGCCATTTTTTATAAGTAATATTTCCTGAAGGCCACTAGCATAGAACCCATGTTTTTTTTTTTTAATTGGGACAGCAAACCTATTGGGAAAACATTAGGCAATAAATAATTAGGCAATAAAAAATTTTGTAATAGTTAAATACTTTTATACGACTGACCTATACGTGTTTATACATGCACTCGGTTAAATCTTTGAAAAAGAGCATTGGTTGTAAATGATTTAATGGCTTTTTGTAACCAGACTTGCAGAGACAGAGAAATTGTATGTAACTGTTAGAAATACGATTTATTTTAAGTATTTTTAGCCAGATTCAATACTAGCTGATTCAATTATTTATATTTAATCGAAGGAGATATAAAAATGTCATCTCCTCATAATGTGTATTTAGAAGATGATTGTTGTCTCAGCTGACTTGGTGATTTTAAATTTCTCCAAGGGAGCAGGCGTAGTTTAACTAAACTCACAATTACACTTTTCTTGCATCTAATTAAAATGTCTTACATTGATATTGTTTTGATTTCTATGACTATTTTAAAAATATATAAATCAACTTGCCTGTACTACATACTCCACATTCTCTACTTCAGGTTCAACGTTTCTAATCATGAAATTTTTTTCTGCTCATGTCGCGAGCAAGTGTAAATATTAACCATATTACCATAATATTAAAATATTATATTAGATATAGATTAAATAAAACAAGAAGTTATTGCAGCCTGTTGTTTACATCTATAATATTTTAATAAACACAATAGAACAATTATAATTTCATTTTTACGTTTTGATATTTTTTCAGGTTTCTTCATTTGATCTTTTCCACATTTGGTGCAGATGTATGCCCAGTTGCTGGGAAAGGTTTTAATGGTCTCTACTAAAGGTTTTCTTTACAAAGTCTACAGAAAAAATTCCATGCCTCTCAAAAGTGATTGTAATTAGAGGTAGTCTCTTCTGGAGGCTTCACTGTATTACAAATACTTTACCACTGATTCTTACTTTACAAGATAAAATAAATAAGGTTATAAATGTTGAATCAAGTTTATTAGAAGGATATTCTTTAAAAAAAATNCTGTTAAATTGATTTCTATGAACTCGCCGCTTACCACCCACATTTTTCCTTAACTCTTACACTATGAATATCGCAGGAAAGTGCTAACCACACCAGTTTCACAGGCTTGTGAGTAACTATTGCTTCTTCTAAAAAAGTCTTTAAACTTCGAAAAATTAAAATTTTATAAATAAGGACAAAAGAAGCTGAAATATCGCACTTTTGATTTATTATGTAGTCAAAATTTTGATTTTAAAAAGCGGCGGTGTTGATTTTATTAAAGGATGTTTTTAACATGTATTAATATTGTAACGATTCGGGACTTGCTGATTTGATTTTATAAAGCGGCTGATTTTATTATCCGGTGATTTTATTAGCGGCGGGCACTGTATAAAAAAAGACCTGGGTTTTAGGAGAAAAACTAGAAATTTTCAAAGAAAAATCCTAAATTTAGAAAATATTTTATTTTTTAATTCATTATTGATTGGCTGAATACGAAGCCGCAGCTAGACTAAATATTTAGTTATCACATGATGCAAACCAGCCCATTTTTTAAGTAATTTTTCCTGAAGGCCATTAGCATAGAACCCATGTTTTTTTTATTGCCCCTACTGCCATTTTGGATTAACTTTGGGTGATATTGGGAAAGCATTAGGCAAAAATTTCTTTGTAATAGTTAAACACTTTTATACGACTGAGCTATACGTGTTTATACATTCACTCGGTTAAATCTTTGAAAAAGAGCATTGTTTGTAAATGATTTAATGACTTTTTGTAACCAGGCTTACAGAGACAGAGAAATTGTGTGTAACTGTTAGAAATACGATCTATTTTTAAGTATTTTCAGCCAGATTCAATACTAGCTGGTTTAATTATTTATATTTAATCGATGGAGATAGAAATATGTCATCTCATGTGTATTTATAAGATGATTGTTGTCTCAGCTGACTTGGTGTTTTTAAATTTCTCCAAGGGGGCAGGTGTAGTATAACTTAACTCACAGTTACACTTTTCTTGCATCTAATTAAAATGTCTTGCATTGACATTGTTTTGATTTCCATGACTATTTTAAAAATATATAAACCAACTTGCCTGTACTACATACTCCACATTCTCTACTTTAGGTTCAACGTTTCTAATCACGAAATTTTTTTCTGCTCATGTCGCGAGCAAGTGTAAATATTTACCATATTACCATAATATTAAAATATTATATTAGATATAGATTAGATAAAACAAGAAGTTATTGCAGCCTGTTGTTTACATCTATAATATTTTAATAAACACAATAGAACAATTATAATTTCATTTTTACGTTTTGATATTTTTTCAGGTTTCTTCATTTGATCTTTTCCACATTTGGTGCAGATGTATGCCCAGTTGCTGGGAAAGGTTTTAATGGTCTCTACTAAAGGTTTTCTTTACAAAGTCTACAGAAAAAATTCCATGCCTCTCAAAAGTGATTGTAATTAGAGGTAGTCTCTTCTGGAGGCTTCACTGTATTACAAATACTTTACCACTGATTCTTACTTTACAAGATAAAATAAATAAGGTTATAAATGTTGAATCAAGTTTATTAGAAGGATATTCTTTAAAAAAATCTAATACAAATTATTCAAATAATATTTAAACATTTACTTACTTAGCCAACAAATTCTCAAAAGTACTAACAGATGTATTTGATATCTCCTCAGTCAACATTAAATTGAATGTCTATAATAATAAAGAAAAATTTATGAGATTCGTACAGTTTGATGAATTCATAAAATGTATTAAAAACAAGATATTTCAAAAGAATCCAAAAAGAAAGGTTATAAATCTTTAAAATTTAAATAATGAACTCATAAAGTTGGGAAAAAAATATGAGAAGAAAGAAAATTGTTTTTGAATTTTTTACAGAATTTCAATACTGAAAAATTAAAATATAATAAAGATAAAAAAAAAAAAGGTTGAACAATAGCTATAAAGAAGAAAAAATTGCAAAGAGGAAAAACACAAAAGAAACAATAAAAATTTTTTAAATTCAGATTAGCAAGCTTTTGTCATGTATTGATTTTAATTGGCTTCAATCAGGGCTGATTGTGAGCCCAAGTCAAAATTCCGGAAAATTTCTTGAGTTAAAAAAAAATTTTAAATTGAAAAAAATTTAAACAAGTTTTTTTTCCTTTTTCTCAATATTTCTTAGTTTACTTAAAATATTTTACACATACCTATACCATTTACACATATCTATGATGAAGTAATAAAGATTTACAAATATGTCTTTCCTTCTTGAGTTTATGATTATAACAACTATTTATTGATAAAAAATGAATATTAATCATGAATATATGCTTATAAAGTATATCTCTGGCTCTCCCTTACAAACAAATAAAATAAACTGTGTTTTTAAGTTCCACCTTTGAAAATTTGATTTCCGGAAACTTCTGTTGTCAATGATTTTTTGAAACGTCTGAACCTTCAATCTCCGGATCACTGTTAGCGAAAAGTCCGGAAATCCGGATTTTTTCCGGAGCACAATCAGTCCTGTTTAATCATAAATTAAACAGTCGCACTGAAAGCCATGAGCTTAAAAAACATAAAAATTTTACATTTAATGTTACGTTTTTCATACATTAAACCAGTGGCTTATACAGCTTTATCTCTGTTATTTTGAGAAGGGCTGAGCAGCTGTAACATTACGTATCATATACAGTAGGGAACCGATTATCCGGAACGATCGGGACCATCGCTATTCCGGATAACTGATTTTTCCGGTTTTCTGAATCGCTACAAAAAGCCGTTTTTTTTATTGTTAAACTAAAAAAAAACTGCCAACTATTGCCAAGTAAAAAAAAAAAAAAATATTTGGAAATAATCTTAAAAAGAAGAAAAAATGATGAAGTAATACGCTAATAATTATTTCCAAAATGATGGTAAGGTAAACATCTTTAAAAAAAGAAAGAAAAATCCTGAAATCTTATGAGGAAAAATTTTTTTTTTCTTTAAATGATGGGAAAATTTATCGAATTTCGTTCCGGTTTTTTGGTTTTCCGGTTTTCTGATTTCCGGATAAAAGGTTCTGTACTGTACAAAGAAATATGCTTATTTTCTAAAGGAAAGAAATATGCTTATTTTCTTAAAGTCAGGTGGTTAATATGGGGGTCAACTATGGGCACCAAGGCTGGCAAGTTTCTACCGAGGTGGTTAAAACCACTGGTAGAAACCGGTTAAAACTGGCATGGCAGAAACCCTTTTCTGCCACATTTGTGGCTGGCAGAAATTCGAAAAATGACAAAAGTACTGAGATTGACATACAGTTTAATAACATACAATTCATGGAAAAAACAATTAAATATTATACAAGGTAAAATTTATTTTCAAAATTATTACCATTTAAAATCAAATATTACATTGTTTGCACTCTACAGTAATATAAAACAAAAGACAAGTTTTGATGCAGTTTCTAAACCTAAACAATTTCTCAAGTCCAGCAGAAGTAGCAGGCATTGCCAGCCACAAAAGATTAAAACTGTTACTGTTATAATAATTCTATTGTTGCCATGCAAATTATGTCTTGAAAAGAAAAAAACTATTCGAAAATAGCTCTATTCAGTTATGTTAAGAGTTAAATGATAATAATTACTAAATTTCAGAGTTTAATATAATAAACTAAAATATAGTATTTATATTTATATAAATATTTCTTATACTACACTCTTTATATTTAATAAAAGCAAAATAATATATATTTACAAACAATGAATTAAAAAGTTTGTTACATTTACGTGGAGTTAAACTAATATAGAAGTTTTTTTTAGTTTCTGCCAGTTTTTACCGGTTATAACCAGTTTCTGTCAATTACATGGCAAAAACCAGTTTCTGCCGGCAAAAAGTCAATCCTGATGGGAATCCCAGAAATATTAGTAAGTCAATGGGTTAAATAACACAGTAAAATTTAATGTTAAATATCACATTAGTACTACTTTATGCAAATTAATATATGTTAAAAAAAAAAATTTCTGCAAAAAAAATTCCTAAATAAATATATATGAGTTTTAAATGACTATATGCTAACAAGCTGGAATTATACTGATAAAGCTGCTTCACAGCTACATAATTTTATTACCTGTTCATCAAGAGCCTGTTCATCAGTCATAAGAATCCTGTAAACAAAAATTATCAAGTCAATAAGGGAATAACAAGTTTTATTTAATTTGAATTAAAAAAGAAGAAAGCTGTAACACTATTAAAAGGTAATTTCAATGCAATGAGAATTTAAAAAAAAAAAAAAAAAAAATTTTTTTTAATGAAAGTAACTTGTTTTTTTTTTAGGTAAAAACCTAATATGCTTAAAACCTAATACTTTAAACAGCGAATTTGATGTTTACGCATTAGTTAATGAAAACACCAAAAGTCGTGGTGCTGTTAATTTAAGAAATGGTAACAAAGGATAAAAAAGCATATAGTAATACCAATGAACAAAACATCCAACATTTACAGAAGGCTTATAAACCTTTGAAACAAGAGCTTTCTGTGCTGACACGAATATAAAGAAGACGAAAAGCAATCTGTTATAAATGTCAAAAATGTATCATTTGCACTGAAACCAAAAAAGTGTGTTCAAATGCAAATTTCTGAATGTTTAAAATAAATAAATGCATCTATTAATCTTTTTTTTTTTTGGTACCTAAAATACTTTTGCATTAAGTATATATTTTTGCAAATTTTTGACATTGTTAATTTATTAATTTTTAAGTGTTATTACTTACGATGCATTTTCAAGTCATATTTTTAATATTAAAAGTTGAACCTTATTCATCGTGTATCGATTATTCTTAATGAATGGTCCCATTGATAAACAAACGTTTTCAGTTTTAAAGTAAGACCAAGTACAACATACAACTGAGCTTTGAGATGAGATCTTATCTCACGACTGAGATGAAAATAATTTTAATATTATGTGATATCATTGAGATTGAAATATGTTTTCATAAGATGAAAATTTCAAAAATGCATTACATTTTTTTTGTTCCGGCTCCTTAGCATGTAATTAATATTACTTTCTTAAAAAGTGATAAAATAATGTGAGAAAATATTTAAAAATGTGTGGAATTATAATAACTGTAGTAATAACAGGAAACAAAATGGTTATCAAACAAACTCCTTTTTTTGTCATTTATTAAAAAACCCACTTAAATATGGGTTTTATTGGATTTTTCTAATAAAAAAAAAGCATACCTGTGTTTTTTGGTGTTATTATTAAAATTAGTAATACATTTTAACAGAGCTTCAATCAGTTAGTGTTAAGTTTAAATCAAAATAAAAATAATTAATTTTTGCAAATGCTGCTAACTACTTTTAGAAAATAACCTTTTCCTGAAAAATAAAATAAAAAGGCAGTGCTAAAGGATGGAGGTTTATTTTTAACAAAAAGTGCAAGGAGGGCACACTTATAGCGATCAAAGGGCAGATGGAACAAGTCGTCTTTTTTAAAGACACTGGGGGGGGGGGGGGACACTGATAAATGTTTACAAGAACAAATTTAATACTTAAAATTATTTTTTAAAAAAAAGTGTTGTTTAACTCGCTAGAAATTCATGAAATATTTGTAATAAAGCACTTTGAGAGCAATAGATGTTCCTCTTCAATAATAGGCATCAAAATATTCATATGAGTTAGTTTACGAGCAACGTAAATACAGACTATTGTTATCAAAATCTTATAATTAAAACATCAACAAAAACTTTCTTAAAAATATACTCACTGATTCCAACTGGAACTAAAATGTCCAAGGTCATTAGAATCTCCATTCTCCAACTCAAATGAGTTATTATCCATTTTCTGCTAAAGAATGCAAGAGAATTAAGTTAACACACTTTGGATTGGTTAATGCTTAATTTAAAAAGAAGAGTTACATTTTAAGAATTTACATGTATATATTTACATGTATTTAATAAATTATCACTTGACAATATCCTTTCAAAGTTTAATGACTAATTTAAAAATTTGGAAAGGGATGCACAACCTTTTTTAGTGAAAGGCCACATGCGCAGCAGGTTGACTAACGAAGGGCTGCACACGGGTTTTGTCATGTTGGAGGTAAATATGGTAATTTTTTATCAGTAAACTAAGTAATGTAGTTGCAGAAAATTGAATATTTTGAATTATTAGAATTTATTTAAAAATGAAAAAAAAAAATATATATATATATATATTTTTTATTAAAAAAAAAAGGATACATATAAATACTGAGAAAAAAAGTTATAAATTAAAAAAAAAAAAAACTAATGTTTATAGAATGAAAGTGTAGAGTAAAAAAAAATATATATGCCTATTTTTATGATTAATATAACATCGAATTAACTATTTTACATAAAAAATTTATGGGGTTTTAACAAAACCCAAAAATTAAATCAAAACCATTATAGTACAAAAAAAGTTTCCTTATTTATTTGGTATTATACTTGAAATATTATTTCTACTTCTAGAGCTTTTATGAATCTTAAACAGAAAACATTTTCTTTCTAAAAAATTTCCAAAGTTACAAAAATTTACAAACAGTGAGTAGTTTAAAAATTCCAGTTTTCCTCCACTTATCTAATATTTTTTGCTGGAATAACATTGTATTTAAATACCATGTGTAAATGCATAGCGCAAATTGCCGAAAAAAACAGTGGAAAAATAACTTATGATTTTCTAAATCACATGACAATAACTGCCTTAAAAAAAAAAAATCAGATTTGCCACTCACAAGTCATAATAAATGTATCGGCGTTCTAGAAACCACAGGGAGATGCTAATTATAATTGCTAAAAAAATAATTGAAAAATCACTTGAATTTATGATGAAATCTGCAACAAGAAAGCCAGTCAAAAAGCGGGTAATTTAAATCACAATACACATTGCAATATCTTATTAAAAATATTCAGTTTTTAAAACCATGCAGAATTTTGCAGCAATAACCGTTGAAAAAGCGATAGAAAAACAATGTATATTTACAATAAAATCTGCGTTAACTTAGCACATTAGAAAGTGATGACTTACCCCCGTATTCACCGTTGACTCTGACCTAGCGCGTAACTCCCAGTTCCGAAACCCCCGGTTCGGAAACTTTGACCGACAGTTCAAAAGCGATTCCACCATTATTTTTTGACCGTCGGTTTCTTAACTGCGGGTTACTTGACCGGCAGTTACAGGCGGTAGATTTATAGCCGTATTAACAGCGTTTGTTTTCAATTTTCGTTGCTATTTTTTTATAAAAAATTTCTATTAAAAGAAGAAGAAAAAAAGATTGCATCGAGTAATTAAATTTGAATCTCTCTTTTACTGGTCAAATAAAAAATATGTTTAGTTTCGTTTTCCTAACTGACTTGTATTGATGAGCAAAAGGATCCGAGCTTTATTATTATGAATTTAGATATNATATGAGACAGTATTCAAGAAAATTGAATATTTTTAATTATTAGAATTTATTCAAAAATGAAAAAAAAAAATAAATAAAAATTTTCGTCCTTTTCAGAAAAAAAAAAGGATAGACATAAATACTGAGAAAAAAAGTTATAAATGCCTATTTTAATGAGTAATATAACATAGAATTAACTATTTTAAATAAAAAAATTTTATAGGGTTTAAACAAAACCCAAAAATTAAATTAAAACCATTATAGTACAAAAAAAGTTTCCATATTTATTTGGTATTATACTTGAAATATTATTTCTTCTTCTAGAGCCTTTATGAATTTTAAATAGAAAACATTTTCTAAAAAATTTCCAAAGCTACAAAAATTACAAACAGTGAGCAGTTTAAAAAATTCGAGTTTTTCTCCACTTATCTAATATTTTTTGTTGCAATAACATTGTATTTAAATAAATATCATGAGCAAATGCATAGCGGGAATTGCCGAAAAAACTTACGATTTTCAAAACCACATGACAATAAGCTTTTAAAAAAAAATTAGATTTGCCATGAAATTGGCACAAATAAAGCATGTCAAAAAGTGATGACTTAAATGCTTGAACTCACAAGTCATAATAAATGTATTGGCGTTCTGAAAACCACAAGGAATTGCTAGTTATAAATGCTAAAAAAACAATTGAAAAAAATACTTGTTTTCATGATGAAATCAGCAGCAACAAGGCCAGTCAAAAAGCAATTAATTTAAATCACAATACACATTGTAATATCTTATTAAAAATATTAAGTTTTTAAAACTATGCAGAATTTTGCAGCAATAACCGTTGAAAAAGCGATAGAAAAACAATGTAAATTTACGATAAAATCTGCGCAAACTTAGCACATTAGAAAGTGATGACTTAAATGTGCAATACAAAATTCTCAATATTTGTTTTCATTTTTCAACTTTTTTTATGGTGTTCAAAAGCTCTAGCTGGTCGCACATCAACAGTTGGCGGGTCGCAGGTTGCGCACCTCTACAGTCTATGTAATACAACTCACCTAACGACTAACACCCTTAATCAAAGAATGTATATTTAAGTCATTTATTTGACAAATTGTTTTATACTAACCAAGTAAGTCTTCCTGTTTCCAAAATTGGGGAGACTGGAATCGTCTATGTTTAACTAAAATAAATTTTTTAAATTAAATTTAGTAATACACATAAATGATAACATAACATAAGATAATGATACATAAGCAGTGTTTTCACTAGAGCGCGAGAATCTCGCATATTTTTTTTCTTTTCTCGCATTAAAAATTGATTACCGCGAGAAATTCGCGCATTCTATAAATCAATTTCAAAATTCGCGAATTTCTCGCATTTTGGAAAAAGCTTCGAATTACGCCATTTAGAATAAAATCCNAATACAAAATTCTCAATATTTTTTTTCATTTTCCAACTTTTCTTATGGTATTCAAAAGCTCTTGCTGGTCGCATATCAACAGTCGGCGGGTCGCAAGTTGGGCACCCCTACAGTCTATGTAATACAACTCACCTTACGACTTGCATCCTTAATCAAAGAATGTATATTTTGGTCATTTATTTGATAAATTGTTTTATACTAACCAAGTAAGTCTTCCTGTTTCCAAAATTGGGGGGACTGGAATCGTCTATGTTTAACTAAAATAAAAATTTTTAATTAAATTTAGTAATAAACTTAAATGATAACATAACATAAGATAATGATACATAAGATAATGACAACATAACATAAGATACTTATCAGTCTCATAAAGGAATGGCATAAAAAATTGCTAAACTATCCTAACTAGGGATGTAATGAATGAATAGTGATTTGGCCGAATATTCAGACAAAATCATTGGCTGAATACCAAATATTCGGCGACCAAATAACAAAATTTAAAAAAAGAAAAAAAACATTATTAAATATCATATTTTTTATAGAAATAAGTGTAGTGATTTTTGAAAAATAATCAAATGTAGCAGTATTATTGGTTTGAGGTAAAGGGAAAAAACATAAATAGAAACGTTTTACGACAGTTAGATATTAAGATAATAGTTAAAACAATAAAATATAATAATAGTTAAAATGCTTTAGTTAAAACAGAAATAATTTTTTAAAACATAGTATGGAAAAATGAAATTAACTTGCCTGGACATAAGTAAATAAAGAAAAAAATTAATATTATAAAACTCATGGCTCAGTATAACGTAAATCTAGTTTCAATTTTTTAAATTTCGCTTTTTCATGCCTCTTTCAGAAAATAAATTAACAAGCTAACTTAACAAATATTTATAAAAACTATTTCTAATATTATAAAAAACAAGATTTCAAATTACTTTATTAAATCTATTAAAATTTCCCCTAAAAAAAACTTGTCAAAATGGCTGAGTACCCTTTACATGCCTAAGCCTAACATCAGCAACCTAAGCCTAACGTAATTAAATAAAGGTGGCAATAGGTGCCGTAATAATAGGCACCTAATACATTTACAGTAGTAATAAGTTTTTATGCTCCCTCCTTCTTAAAACTGATAAGTACCAATTAAAATTAAGTGGTTTAATAACTTATCCGAAAATACTTCAATAAGTAATTAACAATACATGAATGAAATATCCAATTTAAAAGGAAGATTCCTGTATCGGTACCCGCACCAAAATAATCACAAGCAGTGGGATGGAGAAAAAAAACATCACAAAAAAGATAACTCGTAGCCATTCAATGCAAACCACAACTTACTCTTTTTTAAAAAATTTCGTTAGGTACAAAAAAATTTTGGTATCTTGGCGCCGGTATTATGTGCAAACAGGCAAAAATACAGAAATATCCTTGACTTAAAGAACACAACAAGCTTAATATATACACACTATGCATTAGAGAAGCAAAACATATAGGTTTACGATCAAAATATGTGACAATAACAATACTGGTAAAAAAAAGGAAATAAAACTGAAGAGATTGGTACAATCGTATGAAGAAAAACTTTCAAAATATTCAAGATGGAATTCAAGTGAATAGATCTTAAACCAGAAGGATTAACATATAACTTCACAAAATATTTACAGAACCTGATATTAACTTTATCAAAATATAGAGGCTCTGATTCGCTAGTCGTGTAAGAGAGTGGATGCAGAAGAATATTATTGGCTAAATCAGAAAGAAAAACGACTGGAAAAAGTCCACCACAAAGATTTATTGATTGTGTCGAAAAGAATCTTAATATCTAAGAAAACGAAAACCATTATCCATAAGTAGGAATGTTTTGTATGGTTAAAAATGACTGTATCAGGTCGGGTCTCCAGAGCCACATAAGAGAGGAGGAAGCTCCAGTATCCATTAAATTTACACATTATTATTAACATATTGTATTTTAAAATCTTTGTCAAGTGAATATTTTAAGCAATTAAAAATTTTATAAGACATCACAAATATGTTTACCATCAAGTCAAAACATATTTGCTACCAATTAAAATGTCTAACCAAAAATGAAAACCAATTGAAGATATTAGAAATGATAACATTGTGAAACAAACGACATGTTATAAAAAGAGAAAGAAAGAAAATAAGGAAGCTACAAAATTAATGCTTAACACTTTAATTTGAAACAGTTTCAAAAATTCAACAAAAATAAAATTAATACATTTATTAAAAGGGAATTCATGATATTATGGAAAACATGATATTTAATTAAAACACATACATAATATAACAATTGTAAAAACATAACATATAGGGGTAGATTTAGATGGAAACGTTATTGTGTCCATTTTAATATACTAGCGAATGGAATGGTTTCATAGAGGCAACAAGAAACATAATTTAATATAAATTTTAAGCTAGCTCAATATGCTTAATAAGAGCTATCAAAAGTAATTTAAAAACCGGCAAATGATCAAGGCCTAGATCTACCCCTTGAATATGCTTATTTACAACACGAAGAAAATTCCTATTACAAAAAACAAAATTTACATTTGTGATGATCTAAATTCTGTTGTTGAAGACACGTTTTCAAATAATTGAAACTAAATTTTAAATCTTTTAATAACATCAACAATTTCTACTTGACGAGCAAACGTCCGACATATACAATAGACAGAGAGTGATTACACAAAAATCACTAAAGCCTGCCCTTAATCAAAGTCAGTGAGCCAATAAGAAAAGAAAACTAGAGCATAAAAAAAAAATTAAAAAAACCGAGACGACTTAAACATTTAGGAATAAAGCCTTTATGACGCATGCGCAGTAGAAACTTTTATAAGGATTTAGCGCATTTTTAAATGCTAGAATTTGCTTCCGACTTTGAAAATATCGGAACTCAACATGTTGTATCTTGTCGAACGGATACAGTTATTCCCATTGGCTAGGGATTCATTTCTACTGCTAAAGATTTTTGTTACACGCGTGTGATTTCGCACCACGTAGCTTATCCCGCTGACAAGTATGTCATATTTTTATGAATGTAACAAAATCTTGCTTGCAAGCACGTCTCAGTATCGAATTTCACCGTAGAGGAAAATTATTTCCATTGTTGCAGTTTTACTAAAAAATAAATTAGTGAGTTTTTTTCGTAAATTGCTGAGTGACAGTAATTTACCGCTTCCAGTAATTTACTGGAGAGCTGCAGGATCTTTACCGCTTATACTTTGTCTCGTTATGATTAACTAAATTTGAGATTCGAATCAGATTTTTTCCATAAGTTACCAAAACGGTTAAAAACAAAATTAAGGAAAAAACTTTTCGACTGTCTTCCGCATATGCGCAATATGAAAGAGCTATTTTAAAAGTTCATGACGTGAGTAGTTTTTGACGAGCTTTGTTTTCAAATTTCAAAAAAGACATTTTTATTAATAAATAAAAAAATTTCCTTTAATTTTATTGAATTCCTACTATGATTTTCCTACTATGACTGTAGAAAAAACTTTCTACAGTCATAGTAGGAAAATGCATGGCGAAAAAAAATTTGTTTCAATTTTATAAATATATGTCCAAGTCTGCATAAATATTTAAGCTAGATTTATGAAATTTTATGATAATCAGATTAATCGATACGAGTTACATGCTTATTATTATGTTTTCCAGTTAGGGTGTTCAAAAACACTCTTTTTCTCTCGTAACTTATTGCCGGTCCCTCAAACCTTTTAAATCTCAGAGCTTTACTGATAAGTTTCAGAAATCGAATGGTCGAAACACCTCTAAAATCTAAAGTTATAAAATTATTATTTCAGTACTTCTTGATGAATTTGAAAAATATCAAAAAACTGAAAGTGTTTCTTCCATTATTGTTGGGTATTGCATTTCTGGGGGGGGGGGGCATGAAAAAAACTCCGACACTGATTGAAAAAAATAAGAAATCCAACAGAGATTCTTAATTCATTGTTACAATACTATGCTGATAATTCTTTTATTTCTCCCGAAATTAATAAGTACCTGAATACCTTTCTTAAGGTATGAAACTGAACTATGAAAAGCACTCATGCTAAGAAAATCATTTGACACAAGCTTTACTCACAAAATAAGCTTCCCACATAAAAGTAAATTTCTGTTTTGTTTACATATTTTGATTTATTCAAATTATTTTTCGTATATTTTACGCAGTTAAATAAAATATTCTATGATATCTAACAAACCAGCGGAATAATTCATGCGAATTTCCAAGTTTTCAATAAAATTCTTAAATAGTAATCTGGCTAGAAATAAAGAATTAAAAGTTGTAATACTAATACTTATTTTCACTCTCTCCTGATTTATAAAAACTGTTGAATTAATTGTAGATTCTTATTTATGAAAAAAAGCGATTTTTGGAATAGTGTAACGTATGAGATGGTAAAAGTCAAAATATATTTTATTCTGGAATTAATTTGTATTGATTTGGAATTATCATCAACTTTGCGCCCCTCTAAATAACGCTGCAAATGGGGACAGATGTTCCCTCTCTAGTTACACTGTTGAGGAATAATTGATTCCGATAATTCCTCAGAATTGATTTCGGAATTTAATTCACTCATTCTAGTATATCTCATTTTTAAATAAGTCAACAAATTCAATATCCTTTTTTTTCGCATTATAGAGGGATGTTCTCAACTCATGAGGACGTGATGAAATAATAAGTTAAAAAGGGGTGTAAACAGAGGGTCAATATTTTAAATATACTTTTAAATGTCCTCTCTTCTTTAAAAAAAAATTCTTTCAAGTAAGCTGATGCTGGTACTCAAAAGGCCAACATAGAGAGTATAAAGAGTTGACGTACTAACATTTGTACTGTTGAAGTACTACTACTCTCGCGGTTCTTGAATTTGGAAGTACAATTAACTCTGGAATGGTCTTGGAATTTTTCGTTTATAACTGTGAATTTCTTCTTTAAGACTTAAGAACATTTTATTAGAACATATTATTTAACATTTTATTAAAAAAATAAGAATTATATTTTTTGGGATTGAAAATCTTGTATCAAAAAGCGGTTGTTATGTTGCAACAAGTTAGTTTCATGTGAAATTATTTCGGTGGAAGTTTTTTTATGAAAGAAAAAAAACAATAATAATTGAATTGAAGCTTCAAATCATTTAAGATAAAATATTTAAAATTCAACCGAAGAAAAAATGGATAACTAATAATAACAATATTTAAAAAAAAATCTAAAATTCAGACAGCAAAAACTTAATTAACTAACCACATCTTATAAAGTATAATAATTTTTTCGTTCGAACAAATATTTAAATAACTGATAATTTGTGAAAAATTAATGATTTTACTATGATAAGAATTACATTTGGTACCATTTTGTCCGAGAACACAAGTAAGAATTAATATATTAGGTTGAAGCAAATATTGTTGACGTTGTTCGTCATTATTCAGAAGTTTATCGTTCAATATAATTTTCGTTTGTGCACTTAAAAGCAAATTAGATTCGCGCTTCTTTGATGACTTTTAATTTTTAAAAAAGAAGTACGATTTAATTTTTATTTAACTAAATTTAAATTTTCCTACAGCTTCTCTTTGAAAACTAGAAAGACTTAAAACAACAGTTATCTTTATTATGAATAAAGTTCTATTCCCATTTAGAGTGAATAGACAAGGCAAATATAAATTATGAAAATAATAATATTAATAATAATAAAATATTACTGGATGAATAAAAGTCATGTTCTAACGAAGTTATGAATTTTTGTTTGAAAAATTAGCTAAGGGGTATTACTTAACATGGATAGACAATCTCTTCTTTACTTAAAAAATTGGAGTGAAAAAAGTAAAATTTTATAGATTAGGAATGTTAAAGACAAATGGGACAAAAAATCAGACATTTATTTTATAGTTTTTATGCTTGAAAACAGATGTCGCCACTACAAATATAATATGAATCAAGGAGAGTAAACTTGTAGTTCTTATATTGAACAATAGATGGCGTCACTATGACCCATATATTAATCATTTTGCTTTCCGTCCTGCCATTTTGCTTGTCTGGAATTTTCGATTTCTTTTCTGTTCTATAGTTTCAACATTCTATATCAGATTTTTTAATTATACTTCAGAAAATCTCAACATTGAACCAAAAAAAAAAAAAAAAAAAAAAAAAAAAAAAAAAAAAAAAATAGAAGATACCAATGCACGAAAATTTTGTTTATATTTTTTAAATTCTTATTCTATAAATTTAGTTAGTCATTTTTTTTTAAAGCTTACATATTTGACCATGAAAAGCGGGGGAGAGAAAAAAAAGAAGAAAGTAAAATATGAAAGATTTTGTTTATATTTATGAAATCTTGATCATTTGGGCAAAATTATTGAATTTAAATTTTATTGTCGTCTCAAAGATAAACTTCTCACTTTCTGGCTTGCAGATTTTTTCTCCTCAAGCCTCACATATTTTCACAAATATTGTTTTTTTCAACAGATGACACTACTATACTAAAAAAGTGTGATAACGTAAGTTATTTATTTAGCATAATGAAAAAAAAAGGGATTGGGACTATTAATTAAATTAAGTGAATCAGGCTCAGAAACGTACTTATCTTGAAAAATGTTTTCCTTTTAGATCAGTAAAAGAAAAAAGGGGAAAAAAAAAAAAGAATAAAGAGACCACTTTTCTAAGCATCGAATTTTCACGTACAAAAACTAATTTTAATGGTTCAAAGGGTTAGTTAATCTCAAATATACTAATTAATTAGTGTAAATTATGAAATTACAGTATCAGACACAACAATGTACTTTCTATGAAAAAATATACCGTCTTTTTTTTTCTTTTAAGGGATTTGGATTTTTAACCATCAAAATATGTGGGAGGGGGTAGCTGCAATCGAAAAAACATGGCCCCAATAGTTTAGGTGGTAGTAGTCGAAAGTGTGAGTTCTTTAAAGTTAATATCATTTTTAACGAATATCGAGAATTTTTAAAAAAAAATTAGGTGATTTTTGTGCACAATTTCGACATAAATGCATTCAACTATAATTCAGAGTAAGAAATAATTTGTAATAATTAGTCATTATTTTCTTATTATTTTATTTAATAATTATCGATAAATTTTGAAGCACAAAGTACTTAAATTTTTGCATGATTTGAAACTAGGAAATCTTAAAAGGCAAAATTAAAAGTTTAAATGAAATCTTTCGAATAGTTGAGTTATAATTTTTAAAAAAAATTGTCTGGTTTTTAAATTTTCATTTAACTATGAAAATATTCAACCGATTTCATTCAAATTTTGGATTTTGACATTTTAAAATTTGTTATAAGACAGATTACAAGATTTACAAAAAATTTTAAAAAATTTTAAATAATGCAATTTTTTGCAGTAATCTTGCAAAAAATTTTTCCTGTAAAGTTTTAAAGAAAAAAACTTGTAAAATTTTTTTACAATTATTAAAACATAATATAAATTATTAAATAAAAGTTATTGAGAAAATATTTTTACATGGAGTTGCATTTGGATAAACAAAATTTTATTATTGAACGAATTTTTCAAGCATAAAAGAATATTTATCTTATTAACTTTTGATCGAATTATCATGTTTTCGCGTTCTAAAATACAATATTAAGTGAATAAAACTATGGCTATTCTATATTAATGATACTGATGGTTCACGTAATATAATTAATTAAGGGACTAATTTTGACACATTTTTTAAATTGTGAAGACGATATTTTCAGTAATGAAATCAAACACATAAGCATACCTTTTCTGA